TGTCCACAGTGTGTACACTGCTGTTCTGCTGTGGTTTGGTGTCTCCGTGCTTGGGCGCTTTCATAGACATCAAGTTACTTCTACTACCTCTAGCATCTGCAAATTGGTCAGCGAGCTTTGCCATATCATTCAGTGATGTAGGGATACTTTCCTTCAAGAATAATGCCAGGTCTCTCCCACAACAATATATGAACTGATCCCTAATAATAAGGTCCTTCAAACGCTCGTAGGTCTTATCAGTCTTTGTCATCTCAACCCATCGCTCAAAATAATTGTCTGGTCTCAACGAGAACTGAGTAAACATCTCACCACCTTCTGGTCTTGATGAGCGGAATGCTTTCCTAAAACCTTCTTCTGTCTTCTCAAAACGCTTGAGCAAAGCCTGTTTCAGTTCCTCAAAATTGAGAGCCTGCTCCACTGGAAGCCGGGAAAAAACATCGAGTGCCTTGCTCTTAAGTAGAGCACTAAGGTTCGCTCCCCAATTACCCGGGTTCCAGTTTTGGGCTGTTGCGTACCTCTCAAAATGCTGCAAGTAGGAATCCATGTTGTCCTTGCCATCTTCGAATGGGGAAAGCTTAGGACCGCGCAATCCTGTTCCATCTCGCACCGGTGACCTTACTTGTGATTCCTGCAGTTCTAACTGCCTCTTCTGGTCTTCAGTCTTCAATCTGGCCTGCTCAAACAGCATTTCCTTCTGGAACTTTTCCTTCTCTTGAAGCTCCTGTATCCTGAACTTCCTGGCTTCTTCCCGTTCATCTCTAGCCTTGGCTTGTTCTTCACTCACAAAACTGCGTAATTCCTGACCCTGCAAACCAAGTTCCTTTCCCAACGTTACCAGTTCCTCTAATGTCGCCATGGTATTAGCTATACTAAGACAGCAACATATACACACACAATAAATTAATGCAAATAACACAGCAGACTTACCACAATCCTTGCGAAAGCTTGTATCCCGCCTGAGAAATATGTCGCCTTGCTTACTTGTTTACCTGTACCGACTTGACTTCAAACACTCTGTCCAGACTGCTGTGGAGAAATGGGGAACCTAACCATAGCTAGCTAACCCGGTGAATACCTTTCCAGCATCACCTGATAGAATGCATATCATGACATCAATTCCCGAGCAGACTAGCACCAGTTATCCCACAGCTGCCACCAAATTGTAACTGTAGAACGAGCGACGCAGCCTTACCCGGCAATGACAACACAATAGTATACTCTATACAGTATACATATTTACTTACACTATTTATAAAGATAATGTACAACACAGATTAATATAATACATACTCACTCACACTCACAACACACAAATAAATACAGTATACAGGAAATGTTCTGTCAAATCCAGATCCTCTAATGTAAACTATCCTAAACTCCTCTGGAACTAGAACAAAGTCTACCTCACACCAGCCATGAGTTAGGGTTGCCTATCCCACTGGACAGCGTCAAAACATGCAAGTGTTTACACACGTCCACCATCTAGAAGGGTGGCACAATCTACTGGCACTATAGACAAATTGGGTGGTCTTACACAATAGACCATCGACTTCAGTGGAAGTCCTCCTCTATGCAAAGAAACTGCTGGCTATCTTAGGATATGTTGTACCGCCGCTGTATCACACCCAAATGACCCTGTCATGGTCAGATCTGTCTCGTGTGTCGGCTGGTCTGTACAACAGATGATCCTCCAGATAATCCCAGGGTAGAAAGCTGGCAAAAGATGGAAAATATGACAGAAGATGACGAAAATCCATTTAAATTCCCGTAATTTGAATGTCACTTCACATATTTTAACTACACATTTATTTCACCCACGCGCTTCCATACTTTTATAATTCTCACAAACCGACATTTCGAATACCTAAAAGGATATTGATATTTAGAATCATTACGTAACTACGATCACAAAGAATACACTAAATGCTGATAACATAATAAGCGAAATGTTAGCAAACTAGCCATTAAAAATCTGTGCGGGTCCACAGCATGCAATCAACTAGCATGTCACCTATGGGCCTCCGTACCTACAGATAATGCATACGCACAAATAATGTAATGTACAATAACATCTAGGTTTCTGATAATTTACACACAAGTAACACAGTTATCTTCTTCATACAACCAATATATACCGATTATTACAATTATAACACGTGTAAAATGGTTTATAGACGAAATGCACACGTAAACAACTCAGTCACGCATCAGTTGACCGCACCACCTACGAATGCTTGACCGGTCTCCATCAGGTAAATTACAACAATCCAAGCAAACCAAATACACGGGACATCAACAAACATGGGTTAAACACTTACCACAGTCAGCTTTCTGTGCTTTCCTCATGGAGCGGCCTATGAAAGTATATAATATTGTCCGTTCTCCATGTGAACATGCAATACCGCCATGTTTCAAAGTTTCTTCCCCCGGTACCTCTCGTGTCTTTTCGTCCATACTTACCTTTCCGCTTTCTAGGTAGCGTTCCACCAATTAACACACGTACACAAACATTACATACAAAACATCACAAAATACCTACCACCTGTATATATATATACATATGCGAGCGTGACATTCTGAATAATGTAAAGGTCCAGGGTAATGATATTTGGCAAGAATCATGCTGGTATGAAAGGCTATAAAGTCTGTTCAACTTATATTATTGTCCTTGTTTGACTTTCAAGGTCACATGTGTCACATGTTTAAATCTTTTAATAGGTTCTTTTGAATCAAACACTGGTATTTTGCCTGTAGCTTTATTTAGTCCACTATTAAGATAACAAGTGTAAGATAAATACCAGGTGAGCGATTCAGGCCAATTGGTCCTCTTGTTCTCCGAGTCTTTATATTCTTCCGAACGAGTTTGAGGAAATAATGTTTTTGCTGCGGTTCTTATTAATAAGTCCTTCCAGTGAGTTTCGGGCTCTAGTGCTTCTTCTTTTTAAGCCCCCAAGCCAAGTTAGGGGACTTTTTGTTTCTGATCCGCCAAACCTTGTTTGACACTTTTCATACTTTGGGTACATGAAGCATCACAGGTGTTTTGTGAGGAGCAAGTTAAGATGTGTATTCAGATATATGCCACCACGGTCACTGATTTACTAAAGGATATTGGGCTATCTTGGTATAACTTGTGTTCTATTTTGTGAATTGCAATTAAGTTGGTCAATGGGATGTTTTCATGGTTTTCCTCAAGACGGGGAAAATTTAACATCTTCTGCAAAATGGCAGCTACAGACTGGCTTCTGATTGGTCGACATTTAGATTTTGTCCAATTTTGTTCAAATTTGGTATGCATGTTTATTATGGCATTGCGATCATTTTCTGATGCCTTATTTGCGACTACATGGTTAGTTTGGGCGCCTTGAGTAACCCGTTACAACTAGAAATATAGTTGATAAAGAAATGTAACCTGTTTTAATAAGTTCATATTGTATTGAGAGTTTATGTCCTTTGTTTCTTATCTTGCCTATTGGAATGTAAGACATTGTTGTTACCTGATTAATGTAAGTTGACACAATTTTATTTTGTTGTTGTAAATTTCGAAAAATACCACGGATGAAATCCATTTGACAAAACCCAAATTTAAGCTGGGATGAGATATTGATCGTGTCGGGTGAGAAAACGTGTCACCTATGCCCATATGTTTTGCACCATCAACTGGGAAATCATGTTGTGAATGCAATAACTTTAGCATGATTTTGCACCAGGTGAGAAATTGTAGCGTAACACCACCCTGGGGGCAGAGTGGTGGGGCTAAAAAGGGGAAATTGAGGGAAATATTAAAAACCTCCCTTCTTTTGTACGAATAGAGGGATTTGAATCAAATGTTGTGGAGAACATCATTGGGCAAGGGGAATTTAAATTTGTATAAACAAAGGGTGTGGCTCCCCTTGGGCAGAGGATCCTGGGGTGGGGCCTATTAGGGAGAGCATATGGATAACTGTTTAAAATCCTTGTTCTGGATGGAGGTATTTGAAACCAAACATCCTTGGGCAACAGGACTTCAATCAAGTATAAATGGAGGTTGTTTTCCTGTGGGCAGAGGGGTGGGTTCCATTAGGGAGAACTGGTGGTAAATCTTTAAGATCCTTCTCTTTCAGTACAATTTAATGGATTTTAACCAAATTTGGTCCAAAGCCTGCTAGCAATTTTATTTAGGGGGACTCAATTTTGTATAAACTTGGAGTGTGGCCTCCCCTGGGGACAGAGGGGTGGGGGCCATTAGGGTGAACATAATAAATGTTCAAATCATTCCTCTTCCATATGAATGTAAAAGTTTTAACCAAATTCCATTTGTATAAACAGAGGGTGCGACGCGTCTAGTGGTAGAAGGCGGGGCCCAATAGGGATAAATATTCAAAATCCTTTTTTCCTTACAAATGGATGTTTTTTAATCAAATTTGTTGCTAAGCATCCTTATGCAAAGGGGACTCAGTTTTGTAGAAATGGAGAGTGTGCCCCCAAGTGGGCAGAGGGGTGGGCCCAATGGGGGATTGTAGGGATATCTTACGGTGTAAAATCCTTCTCCCTCTGTACATATTGAGGGATTGTAGAGAAACCTCCCCACTTCAGCGGGACACTAAGAAGGGACCAATGAAGGTGTTGCTTAGAGACAGAGCCATTCACTCAATATACATGTACGGTAGTTGTAGTGTTTATTTATTGTAAATATTTGTCCAAAGATTGCTTATTATCCAGGTGAGCGATACAGTTGACAAATTTGTATCTGCCTCATTATTCCATGTTATCTAGTGCAGGCAGCATAACCTGATAACACCTCACATTGATCTGTCTTTTTTTGTACAAACTCATATTGAGCAAGACTTTCAAAGGATCTTTATCAGATCAACAAAAGTATTTTACCTTCTATTACCTTCATTTTCCGTAAAAGATGTAAAAAACATCGAGCTCCAAGGAAATTATTGTAGTGGCTGTATGTCCCTGTCATCATTACTTGTAAAATAACAATTTACTATAATTTTCTAATATTTTTCCACCAGAGAAATACAAGCTGCAGCAATCTGAGGACTTGACCATTGACAGCTTAAGAAAGATACAAGAAATATCCCGTGTTTGTAAAACATTGTCCAAGGTCACACAAGCAGTATGTATTGATGTGTTTGTAATGTTTCAGTCACTTTCAGATGTGCTTACAGAGTTATTGCCCTTTTGTTTAGAACCTAGTGAAGACAGCTTGCTTCAGTCCCCGAGTATTTTTGGTCACCCCTGGGGGAACCCCAGTGGGGACTATTAATTTTGGTTTCAGTCCCAGATTTTGACCTCTTCTATTTACAGCTTTCGTGTGTTTGCTTCTGTCGCTAATAACAAGCTTTTGGATAACTCAGATATCGATTTAGGAATAGATCTAACATACAACCAAAAGGCGTTCCGAATTTCAAACTGAGATGTTCCCAATATGAATCAGTCACCTTTGAGGTTCCCGAAGGGGTAGACTGTTATAT